ATATATATATATGTGTGTTTTTATAGAATTTCAAACAATAGGACAACTGAATATAATAATGTCCTTTTTCCTCTAAGAAACAGTTGTGGCCAAAATAACTTGTTATACCAGACATTCGGTGACAATTCACTTTCAGAGTTCTAACAATATATAACTGCAGCATAAATGTGTCTTTAAATGCTAATTCTTGAAAGAATTGTTAATGGCCATAGTTTTATATTCCTGGTTTTGATCAATAAAATACATGTTTCTATACACCTCATTTTTAACTAATGCTGATAGTTTTATACTGTGTCATTTCAGAAGAAGAAGCTGCAGTTTCAGGAACAACAGCAACAATATGTCTTCTAAGGAACAGCATAGAGCTTGTCGTAGGTCATGTAGGAGATAGTAGAGCATTACTTTGTAGAAATGGTGATGTTCAAAAATTGACAGTTGATCACCATGGAACTTTAAAGTCAGAAAAGGTATATGATAAACTGTTGTAATAATGTTTAGTTTCAGAATACAGTGCTGTAAACAGTGGTAGCATAGTTTTTTTGCTATATTTAGTTTTATTTTTCCTAAATGTGACTTAATTATCCTTTTCTGTTGTAAACACTGCCGGTGAGCTTGAAACTGTAAGAAAGTGATGAATGATTTTTGTAACATATACATCAAGATTTTGTGTACTGTATTATTTATGTCCAATGAAAGGGGTTTACGTTGAAAGAACTTTACACAAAAATGGAATTTAATTGAAAAACTGAAACTTTGTGTTATTTTGCTGTGAAAAGGTCTTTCACTTAATACTAGAGCTCTTTTATGTAGGCTGAGTTACAACATAAAAAGATGATTGATACTGAGCAAAACATACCTCCATAGCTATTACTCAACCACCAGAGTTTCTTCTTTGCCCGTCTAATCATTGGTCTGATTTTTTCTCGCTTGCTCCAGTCTTTTATGCCCCACTCAATTGCCCTTGGTGATATACACTCATTGGTCACAAGTAAATAGATACCTAATTTTTCATCATTTAACGGATTTATGCTAACTAATTTGTGTTCACAGAGCACTATATAAATGAAAATGGTCCACATACACTAATTATCTTGTGCTACAACATGCCTAGAACTCAAGGTTCTCTCGAATTGTCAGATTTTGTTAGAAGAAGGATAGTTGGTCAAGCAGATGGTGGAATAAGTCAGCGGCACATTTTTCAGAATTTGGGAATCCCACTCTCGACAGTCAACAGAATCATCATGCAGTTCAGGAAACACGGCAAGGAAACAACTGAGCAGCATCCGGGTCGTCCTGGTCCATCGGAGAGGACAAAAAGGGCTGTCAAGAGGAGCATCGAAATGGATCCCAGATTAACTACTCCAGAAGTGGCCAAAGTTGGTGGGATGAGCCCAAAATCTGTTCAATGGATTCTCCACAGATTGGGTTATCGTTGCAGAGCAGCTAGATGGAAGCCCTTATTAAGTAAGACCTGCCAACATAGTCAGACGAAAGAAGTGGACAAGTGATATGATGATGAAGCCTCTGA